GGAAATTATGAAGTTAGGAAGGCGCTCTGGTGGCGTAGCGGTTACGGGTTAGGCTGCTATCTGCAGGCTGGCAGTTTGGAAACACCAGCAGCTCTGGGGGAGAGGTACAAGGCTTTCTACTCCCACAAACAGCTAGTCTCAGAAACCACAGGGCCAGTGCTAGCCTGTGTGAAAGGGTTGCCAGGAGCCAGTATTGACTCTATGGCAGTGATTTTGTTGTTGTTGTTGTTGTTTATGAAGTTAGAAATTGAATCGAGAAACACCAGGCAGAGGCTCCACATTTAATGCTACAAGTCAATGTCACAGACTGTAAGCACACATAGAAGTAGATACCTTTATAACAAGTCCAAGTGTGCTGTTAATAAACAACATCGATAACTGAAAGTTGCCTCTTTACCTTTACTCACGTAAGAGATCAACTAAAGGCGGTGCACTCCGTTCAGCTAACTGGAGTTGAAATAGGAGAATGTGAGTTATTTGGCCAGAGGGCAAAAGTCCCAAAGTTCACAGGATGGGAAAGGGAAACACTTTTGACAAGATCTCAGAGTTTCATCCGTGAGCAATCAGAGACTCTACAAGTTCTCTGGTGTCCTGTCCCACATTTACCTCTTCATCCACCCTGAACACATCCTCCACCATGAGCGACTCAGAGATGTGTTTAAATGTCTCCATGCATGCGGAGAGTCTGAATATGAAGCAATTAAATGCCATATATTGCGAGGACAAAGGCCAGTGTTCAACCCAGGCTCTCATAATTGTGACTTTTGGTACATTACTTATCCTCCAGAACCCTTCCCTCCCCGCCAGCTGTCACATTAGGATAATGATATGTGCCTTAAATAATGTGTTTGAGAATGAAAGGCTATGGTAGGCACTGTCTCAACGGCAACATTTCTTCCCATGACTGTGCAATCGATTGTCCCAGACTGCAGCGTCCCGCTTCTCTGACAATACTTTTAACTCCTATTTAACTTTCCCTACAGATAAAGGCGCTGAGGCAAACACTCCCCCAAAGCCAACAATTTTTCTTCCTTCCGTTGCTGAAAGGAAACTTGATGATGCTGGAACCTATCTTTGCCTTCTTGAGGATTTTTTCCCTGATGTTATTAAAGTAGATTGGAAAGAAAAGGGCAGTGATGCACCTCTGGGGGCTCAGCAAGGAGACATTATGCAGACACCTGGGGACGCGTTCATGAAATTCAGCTGGCTGACTGTGAGTGGAGAGTCGTTGAATAAAGAGCACCAGTGTGTGGTTAAACACGAGACAGGTGTTGAAGAGATTCTTTTTCCTTCCATAAAGAAAGGTATGTATACATAAACTCCCCCAGAAAAATGCATATTCCAAAGGCAATCCCCACCATTTCCATCAAGTATTAATGCAAACAAATCTAAATCTTGGTTAAATGTTGTTACATTTTGTGGTAGTACAAGTATCCCATTACTTTCTCATAGGATGAGAATGATGTCCATTTGGGAATAAAATTTTTTTTTTAAACAACAAAAAAATTTAACTTAACCTTTCTCAGCCACACTTTCATGAACCAAAATGATTGCAAGGATGTTTTAGGGTTGAGATGGCCAATGGGAACGTACCTTATAGAACACGTTTCTTTCATAACGATTGGGGGACACTAGGCGGCGTGGAGGCACAAATGAGTTTGTTTAAAGACTAGCCCAAAAGTTGGTGGTTCAAATTCACCCAGAGACACCTCAGAAGACAAGTAGTCTGATGATCTCCTTTTGAAAGGTGGGAGTCTGAAGAATTCTCTGGAGCAGCTGTGCCCCGCACACCTGGGCAGGCCCAGCAGTAGAGTGGACTCACTGGCAGCGAACAGCATCAGCACCTATGTGCTTCCGTAGCTCCTACCTCGTAAGAGTATCTCTGAAGCCAAGCCACACCCACCACCATCAAGTCAACTTTGGGTGGGTGTCCAAGGCTGTAAATCTTTAGTGTAACAAAAAAATCTCCTGGTTCGCCCACAGAACAGCTGGGGCTTGAACTGCTATCCTCTCCATTGGTGGACTTGCCATGGATGAAGACGTTCAACAAACATTTGTTGTACAATTAGTGTATGGGAGCCCCGAGGGGAACTATAGGGCAATAGATCAGGCTGAATTAGTGCCTCAAGGATGTACTCCTGGAAAGGAAAGGTCGGTTTCTTAATCACACCTGGTTCAGGTATGCTGCCCCCAAAGGAGTCGCTCTGATGCAAATGAGGTCCATATTCAGATGGTCTGGGTAGAGGACTGAGTGCATCCTGAGTCTCCTAGTGGTCCAGCCTGGCTATGGATTAAAATCCCTCTGTTAACATAAAGGGTGGACAATCAATAGTTCTGTCCTTTTCCCTTTCAGCCTACCAAGTCTTCCCAAACCATGTGGACCAAGCAATAACTAAAGCGGGAAGGGCTTTGCTATGTCCTGGCCCTACTTTCTTCCATCTTTATCCTCTTGGATTCTTGCTTCCCCCAATTACCAAGTGACACTTTAACACTTGCCTTGGTCAGTGTTCATCACACCTCATGGGCTTGGAATAAAGAGCAAATGAATGATGTCTACGAAAATACTGCCTTCAACAATACCACCCAGACATATCCACTTATTTCTTTATTTCATTTCATTTTTAAAACATTTAGAACATTATCAAAACAGTTCTAATTATATACTTCCACTACAAGAAACAGCAGGAAAGTAAATATTCCAGCACACGTTACTATAACCCCTATATCTCAATGTCTGATTAGGTTCACGTTTTCTAGCAATCAGAGAAAAATAAGAAATACAGTAAATTGCATGAGGATTATTATCATAAGAGAGGGATGCTTGGGTTTACAGTATAATTCTGTACTAGTTACTATTGAGTGGATTCCAATTCAAGGAGAGCCCATGTGTGGAACTGTTGGATTTCCAATGGCTGATTTTCCCGAAGTAGATCAGCAGGCACCCTTGGGTGCACTCTGAGCTTCAACATTACAGTTAGCAGCTGAGTGCACCAAACATTTGTAACACCTAGAGTCTCTCTTAATAATGTAGTTTACTTGACGTTAATTTTTAAAACAAATGATTTATATTATATTTTCTCATGCTAAAAGTGTTAGTGAGGATGTTCTAATGATGCTATACAACAATTCTGTAGTTCCATTTCTTAAAAGTTTTGCTTTTTAATAAAAGCTAAAAATATAACGTGAAAGCCCAAATCGGCAACATGATCCCAAGGTCAGATTAAACTAATCTGGTCCAAGTTTAAGACCAACCCTGATTAAGAGAGAGAATTTAGGATGTGTGTAAAGATTTCATTATGAATTGCCCTCATGAAGCAATCACCAAAGATATTATAGCAAAATCTGGTGAAGAAGTCAGATGGTGCTCTGTTATCGGAAATAGCTCCTGCCGTCTTAAAGGTTTGTCTTAATCCTAGCAGCGAGAGTATTTGGGTGTCAGCTAAATCCACACAAAAGGAGCATGCTGGCACATGTGATGTAAAAATGGTAAATAATAAAATCCAAGCCCTGAGGAGAACACTATATTAGAGATTTAATTCTGAGCACTGTGTTAGCAGAAGGCTGTGGATGACAGCGAAATCCCAAATCTCTTTGTCTCCACTGACATCCCTCAGACGGCTGAGCAGGGATGTGAATAGTCTTGGCCTCTGAGCACTTTGCAAAGTGGATTACTGTAGCAGAGCTCGGCTAGCATGTACCATCGTACCCACCCTGGTTCTAGTTTTTATTCTGTTCTGCTCTCTTTTTGTTTGAGGCTTTCCCACTCTGGTTGGAGGGGGAGTTTTTGGTACGCTTTTCTTTATTTGAAAGCCAGGTGAAGTAAATCTATTGAGATAGGAATGAGATTCATAGCTCCTCAATGGATATGATTGAGAAAATTGGAAGGTAATGGGAAACTAATAATGATGGATATAAGAATCAAGAAAATGATCTCATACTGATGGTGGTGACAATTGCACAACTCCTTTTAATATATTTAAACCATTGGGGGAAAACATTTCAGTACTTTATTGATTTCACCCCAATCAACGCATGGTGTTAGAGATGTTACCTTTTATCTAGTAAAGTCACTGTAAGAAAAAGAATGAGGTTTTCGGAGCACATTAAAGTCTATTGGCCATGGAATTTTAAGCTTTATACACATTTATGTGAATATTTTTATCCCTGGGATTTGACCCAAAACCTCAAGCCCATTCTTTGTTTTGTTTTTTAAGAAAAAAAATAAGGTCTTGCCCAGAAAACAAAACCGTATACAAATATTACGCTCATCTGGCCAAGAGCACATCCCACAGAAAGTGGATTAAGTGAAGCAAACACTCTGCTTCTCTCAACCCAACTGTCAATTATATTCATGAAAATGATTTTGTTTTGTCATCATAGGTAAATACAAGTCTCACAGAAAGGTTTATATTGCCAGAACTATAAATCTGACCTAGCCAATTCTTCTGTAACCAGGAATAATCCAATGGAAAATGCGGAGCTTCTAGAATTTTTAGAAAATAATGGAGAGGTCTATAAGAGAAGATTTTCTCAGTATCCATAAAGATAGTAGTCAGTGGTCACTTTATAGATGATATTCTATCTGTTATTTCATTATTATTATTTTTCCAAAGTACTCTCCAGACGCCGTCTATTATTTAATCCTCTACACCCACCCTTTGGAAACTGCCTCTCCCCTCAGCTGTGTGATCTGTGCTGTGTGAAGGGCTTTCTCCCACAGTCCTTGGTCCACATGGCCCCACTGAGCAGGAATTGTCTCGATGGCAGTGAATCTGGAGTTTGGGTTGATAATGTAACTTACTTCAGAGTATTTTCAAGTACTATGCCTGGCACAGTAACAATTACTCAATAGGTGCTAGCATTTAGCATTTATCGCAAAGACTGCTGTGACAGCTACAAACACAAAGCCAGGAAATCATTTGCATGAAGCAGGGATATTGAAGTTTATTGGGGGGGGGGGGCGGTCAACGTGTCACCAGCCACTCGGCAAGAGAAAGCTGAGGCAGACAGCTCCCGTAAAGCCTGAGAGAAAACCCTCTACAGTGTCGCTCGATGGAAGTGGGGTTTCTTGTTTGACTGCTTTTCATCGTTCGGTTGAAAACTGTCATGTGCAGAAACACAGACGAGTGGAATCTGTTGAATTCCATAGATCAGGCCAATTATTCTTGGGATAGTGGGATTTTGTTTTTAATGACTGTCTCTCTGTCGGTCAACTACACACACCCACACAAAGTTAAATAATAAACCAAACCAAGCTCCCTGTCATCGATTCAATTCCCCCTCATAGTGACCAGATAGAGAGGGTTTCTGATGTTGTAAGTCTTCATGGGAGCACAGACCTCCTCCTCCTCCTGCAGAGTTTGAACTGCGGACCTGGCAGTGATTAGCCTGACATTTAACCAAACAGTGTCACCAGAACTCCATTGTTTAATAATGGGCATGCACAACTGATGAATGCTTGCCTTTATTTCTTCTAGGCTTTACTCTGGAGAATTCCACAAAACCTTGTTTGAAAGGTGAAAATGGTAAGTTTTCACATATATTTGTTACACTAGAATCTATTTTATTTTGCATCAAATTAACGATTCAATTTCTCTGACTTAAAAAGAAAGTAGAAAAAAAAAGCAAGAAACCTAGAAATGGCTTCCGGTTGCATAAAATAAATTGAGTGGTAATTAAAATTACTCCACATTCATAGTAGTAAATTGCTGAGTTTGGTATGAGACTGACTACAAATCAGATATGCTCTGAACTATTCCCAGAAAAGAACTTATTCATCCATGTGGCTTTTGTTTCTACCGATGAGGGAAATATGATAATACATTTCAGGTTATTGTTTATGTGTTTGTTTTTTCCAGCTCTGGTCATTGTTGGTAGCTAAAAAATAAACAGACACTAAGAGTTTCTGAGACAGGAGGCATCATGCTTTTTTCTATATGTAATTCCTTATTTAATCCTCACAATACTCCTGGGAGTGCTACAGAATTTCCCCCCATTTCATTGATGAGGAGGGCAATGAGCTAAAATTAAGTTTTTTGTTCCATGTCACAAGGTAATAGAGTGTGGGTTTAAATCCAGGCACCTGAAGCAAGAATTCATATATTTAATCTAAGTAGTCACCGAACGGGAAATTCTAAGTCCACGGACCTCAAATATAATGTAGGAATGGGTCTTCAGAGTAATAAAAACTGGATTTAATCTCAGTTCTTGGAAGCATTTGTTGCATGAATATAGATACATTTCTATTTCTGTTCTGAGCAAAATAGCCTCTACAAGCTAGAAATTATTGCACTTAACTCACCGTGACTTAAGTCACTGATGAGATAAGAAAACAAATCAGAATGTCTAGCATAAGATATCTCATTTAACACACAAAGATTTTTATAGCCATTGAGTGGATTCTGACTCACAGTGACACTATGGAACAAAGGAGAATTGTCCCCTGGGCTTCAGAGACTAGAAATCTTTACAGGAACTTAAAGGTTTATCTTTCCTCTCCAGAGTCCCTGGTGGTTTGAACTGCTGACCTTGTGGTGAGCAGTCCACTGAGTAACCCACTATGCCACCAAGGCTCCTTATCTCATTTAGCAGGTACAGAATAAATACTTGTCTTCAGCCCATTCTCCCTATAGGAGACACTAGAAGCATTGCTCTGCATCTGCTAGTCTCTCTTCGTTCCCAACAACAAGGCGATCTGGCCCTTACCTACCACTACAGTCGGCAAGGGGAGACAGTAACAACTGACCTGATGGAGACTCCAAGACCATAAGCACATTACCTGTTGAGATCCCTTCCCATGCCACATGCTATCGATTCTGGAGCTCCGACTCTGGAAACCAAACATGTAAAGGAGCAGCGGCTAAGGCGCTTGGTTCCCTGAGTCACCAGTCTGGCCCACGACCATTGCCATCCATTATTTCTCTACATTGTATATTTCCTGCAAAACCTCAAAGCCCAGTAAGTCCCCTTTTCTTGCAACATTTAGAAAAGACATATCACACATTTAGGAAAGGCAGCTTAGTGAGCCACACTAGTCTAAAGATTTGGAGAATTTGCATGTCCAAATTCTCCAGTTCCCTTTTTATAAAAATTTCCATTTTCTCTAGTTCCCTTTTTATGAAAACTTCCAAATCATGCCTCTCCCACCACCACCACGTTTCCTCGGACACTATTCTTCTCAAGGACACGCTTTAAGCACAGCATAACACTATTCAGCTGCTCCTGGGCCAACAGCCCATCTGTACTTGATGTTCAAACCCTTTGAGGTCTGGAGTGTTTATTTCACGTGGAGATGCAGAATCCCAGAGGAGTAAAAAACCTGCCTCTAAGGGCAGGCCCCTAGAGGCCTGGCATCAGACCAATGACTTCTCTCCCCGTCCAAAGTTTCCTTATTTGCACAATGGAAATAAAATTCTCTTGGGAGGTTTTGTAAAGATTAAGTCACACTAAATTGTGTATAAAAGCTCTCAGAATAATGTCTGATATCTGATTAGTGCTGAAAGAACAGAATCCACACAATAGATTGCTGTAAGAGCCCCCAATAATGATTTTTTTAAAATACGGCATAAAAACAGAACAGAATCAATTATTATTACTCATTGACATGGTGTAGGTATCCAAATGCTAAAAACGAGTTCCTAAAAGTACTTTTGACTCATTCGTCCCAAATAGAGCTGTAGTCTTTAACGTTTCAGAGTGTTCCAAGTGTTAGCAGAGTTTAACTAGACCCGCAAGCTGCATTCCGAGTTACTTTGTTGTGGTTGATGGTGGTAATGGAAGGGATTTGGCTGTTCGTGGGTGTGTGATGTCACTTTTATATAGATCATCGGAGATAAATATATGGGACCTCCACCCCACTGATGTGTCCCTGACTTTCAAGACATGAGCGCTGGCGGCGCTGTGAGTTAGGTCCACCGCTCAACCTCCCAGATGCTGCCTGGGACGCAGGTGGGGCTGTGAGCGCTAGGAAAGATGTGCAGCCTGAGAAACCCTATGTGGCAGCCAGAGCCCTCTCAAAGGCACAAAGACACTAATCCACCAACTTCTCTTAGATACCCTGCGGCTGCAGCTCACGAACACCTCCGCCTTTTACACCTACCTGCTCCTCCTTCTCAAGAGTGCCGTCTACTCGGCCACCGTTGCTTTCTACCTGCTTAGAAGAGCAGACGTGTGGGGCCCGGCGAAGAGTTCCTAACCGAGAGGAGGAAGAGAAGGAGCCATCATCTCTTCACTCGTATTGTTCCCGAGCTTTCTGCTGAGGTTCAGCCCGGTTCTCTTTCTGAGCTGGGTTCTCCCAGTTGCCGAGTGTGTTTCTGTACGTGTTATTGACAACCTGAACCCCTGGACAAACCAAGACACCCCTACTTTGCAACGATAACAAAACATTCTGCAAATACCTTGGGGCAGGGTCAAGGGTCACCCACGCCAGCCTTTAGTACCCTCTTCCCCCACCCCCGAAATCTCCAATAGCTTCTCCCAGGCGACCCAAATGCACACACTGGATGCCGACCCGGTGGACCTTGTGGTCTCACCCCTCCCCCAGGCACTAGTTTCCACTGCTTCCACGCAGGCTCCTGACGCCCTGTGTGCAGGAGTGGAAATGGGCTCCATTGTCTGTCAGTGGCTGGTAGTTTGGGGAGTAAATCACCAGGCATGGTTTCTGAAGCATCTCCCTATGGGCTCTAGTCTACACACTTATTCATTAACAGTGGGGCGCCTTACCATTTTTACCCCGCACGACTTCTGCCCAGCCACCTAATGCAGATAACCGCCTTCAAACCTTCCATTTTATACCCCTGAAGCCACCATGTCTGTGCTCCTTGAATGCTGTGCTTTGTTTTTATATATTGGAACAATAAAGCTCAATAACAGTAAAACTCTACGCTCGTCCATGTACTCTTTAATTTGACAGAATCTGATATAAGAAATAGTCTGGCTATTAAGCAATGAAATTTCTGATGTGGATGGTAGGCTATGTATGCCTGCCAGGCCCAATACCTTTCAGCCTACAGCACAACTGGCACCATGCAGAGAAGGAGCGTGGCATGGTGGGAGAAATACAGGACAAGAAGTCAGACCTCATAGATAAAAATATTTCACAGGCTATTTGGCCTGGCTCTCACTTGCTGCATCATCTGTGCTTGGGTAAGTGATGTACCTTCGTATACCCATATTTAAAAGAAAGTGTTGAAATGAAAACATTCCTTACTAGGTATCAGATACTGCTGCAAATACATGCAGACTTGTTTAATTCTCACCATATCCCTTGGAGATATGTACTACGCTCTCTGTTCTTTAGATGGGAGAACCGTCGCAGAGAGGAGCTGATGCGCAGCCCCACTGTCACACAGCTCCTAAGAGAGAGCTGCGGCTGGGAAGCCAGCACCTTAGCTCCAGGAGCTCTGCTCTCCATGTCTGCAGCTGTGCTCTTAGTAGACACATGTTACCTTATTAAAATATTATTAAACATTGAAATAATTAAAATAATGAAATGTCCTTCCTCCTAGGCTAAGAACTGACTGAAGGGAATTATATCCTTATCTGTCCGTGAATACTCTACTTTTGCAATCAGAGCTCCTACACTGCTTTTGCAATCAGAGTTGTAGGTCAAACTATCACATGACTTTCCATACTGCAGAGACTTTTATAGATAGGCTACCAACTACCACGGGAAATATGTGATTAAAGTCCCCCCACCCCCCACACCCGATACCAAAAGCCAAACCCACTAGGTACAGTCCCATATGTGATGGAAACATTGGACACAGGTTTGTACAATTCTACATAAAAATAATCGTCTCAGTTGTCTTTGCACTAAAGCTCCTCATACCTTTATTAAAAAGAACAAAACCTTAATGATAAGATTTAGCAACATTTTTACCATCATGAACTTTCCTCTACTGTTTTGGAATTGTTTCCCTCACAGGCTCCATATCTTGAATTCTTTTTAATCTATCAAGCAGGACACAATAATTTAAGCAATAATTGATTTTCCACTTTTTATCAATCAACTTCCTATATAATTGGCACGCAGAAAAGCTACGCAATTAGAGATAACCAGAGATATACCAAGATAATCTAATTTAGGCCAAAGCCTAGAATATCTGCATTAGCCATGAAGTTTATCTGGTAAACATATGGTCTCCGTCATGGTTTTTGTTTGCTTCGTTTTCTTCTTTTTCAGTTATAGTAAGTACCCATCACGTAGGGAGCGCTAGGAATTCTGCTAGGTAGCTTACAGTCCTTATTTGTGATGCTCTCAACTGCACCAAATACAGGCACCAAATTCATCCCATCAATAAGAAAATCAGCCTCCAACAAGAGAGTTCATCAAATGTTCAATGTCAAATTCTGTGTACGATTCTAGGTTTGTTTGACTGAAGGCCTGCTACCCTATCCTTTAGCTCTCCTCTCGGGTGCTCTTAAAGATGACTGTGCACTGGACTTTATCCTAAGAAGGCCTGGTGGCCCTGTTGGGTAAGCACTGCATTACTGCCAGCAAATTCAGTCATTTAAACGCACCAGTCACTTTCAGGGAGAAAGATGAAGCTATCAATTCCTGTAAAGACTTACAGTCGTAGAAACATTTTATAGAGTGACTATGAGCTGAAATCAATTATAGTGCAGTGGATTTGGGGCTTTGGACTTTATCATAGGTCATACTTTAAAAATAAAAATTCCTTAGATCACTTTAATGCGCAACCAATGTTGAGGCCAGTAAGTGACGGTCATCGCTCCAGAACTCCACCACTGGTGCCCTAAGCAGTGGAATGATTTTGGAGTATGTTATACAAGTGTAGAACCTGCTTCATCTTCAAAATATTCTTGCCGCTTGACCCATCAAGTTCCTGAAACAAAAGGTATGTACTATGATGTATATAAAACAATATTTAGTCACTGTAGTGATATGTGTACCAGCCAAAAATGAACTCAAACACCCAATAAGAAATTAATAAAATAAGCTGAAGGATGTTTCATGATGGACATGTGCATTCTACGGAAATATGATTGTTTTTAAAAATGGAAAATTAATCAAGAAGTACTGTTGAAAAATAATATGCACAGCATGACTCCCTGAAAACATTGCTAGATAATGCACACACTCGGTTCAAAAGTCAAAGCTATAAAATATTCATTAAGGACCTTCCTAGGCTTGTTTACAAGCAAGCAGCCATCTAACTGAGATGTCAACTAAGCCCACACGGAAGAAGCACACCAACCCCCATGATCCAAGGATTGTAAATTATATAATCCAAACCCAAAGAAGGGAATAGTAGCAGAGCTTAAATTGTGAGACTCTGCTGTGCAGAAGGCTATGGATGACAGTGGAAACCCAAAATACATTTGCAGGATCTTCGCAGGGAATTAGCTTCCAGTGGTTTCCCTCTGGTCACAATGGAGGGATGGGAATAGCCTGGCTATCAGAGTATGGTACAGATTACTATAGTAAACTGAAATGATAAATCCGACTTCAATGATTAAAACCTTGCCATTTGATCTCCCTTTTGGAGATCAGTTAGGACATGATCTCATTTCTAATATTTTCTGGGTTTTCTTTTTTCATATTGGGGCTTATTTATCTCCGTTCTATTTTGTCATTGCTGGTAGCCTTCCTGACTCAATGTTATGGCTATGTTTTGAGGGATTTGAAACCCATCTTAGGTGAATCCAGAGACAATAAGTGGAGTCAGGGTCCCTGTGGTATGGAGGGTGATTGGAGGGGTCATGAGGAGGAGCCGCTATCAAGGAGTATAAGGACATGTTTTTTAAATTGATTGTGGTACTGATTGTATGGCACTGCTTGGTATGAGTGAAGTGCTGAATGGCATGACGTCTGGATTAGGTCTTAATAAAATGGCTTGGGGGAAAAAGAGAGAGTCTTCTTTGTACACCTGTAAAGGGTTAACAGGCTCAGGATCCCAGGGTCCTACCGGTCCCATAGGGTTGCTCTGAGTCGGAATCCACTCCCTGACAGAGCTTGAGTTGCTTATTTTTTTATTCTCATAAATGTAATTGGACTTCTTTAGGTCAAATACCAAGCAAAACTCAAACCCACTGCCGTCGAGCCAATTATAACTCATAGCCACTCCAGAGGATAGACGCCGAACTACTCCTGTGGGCTTCCTTTCGGAGGCTGCACATCTTTGTCAAACCAGAACATTTCATGTGTCATGGGGAAGTTGGAGGGTTTGAACTGCTGACCTTACGGTTCGCAACCCAACACAGAACCCACAATGTCACCGGGGCTCCTAAGACCAAACGCCTGACTCTCTAATGAGAGGTTTGGGGTTATTTCTGAGTTGCCAAAGCAAAGAGGGGTAACGTTTCAAATCACTGAAAGTTCAGTGAGGCTGACTTTGCTGGCAGGGAGTACTAAATTCTGTCTCCAGTTGCTTCTTATGTCTTAGCATCTTCCTTCCCCCATCCGCTGCCCTGACGCTAGGAAATAGAAGGGACTGGGGGGTGGAAGTGGTGGTGGTGGAGACAGCGGGTGGTGTGAGAACAGCAGTGTGGCTGATGGTTTGTATTTTCTCAGGCTTCTTTTGTTTATGTGCTGGGCTACCTGTGGTCGATTCGTGGAAAACACACCAAGCCAGGCCAGCCCTCCTCAGGGCTGTGTGCGGGGTGGCTAGGGTGTTAGAAGATAAAATAAGGACAGTTAAACCACTAACTCTGCTCCCTTTCAAAAGGTCACAATGAATACACATAAAATATCCAGCCGCACATGTATGAGATGGTTATCAAACGACTGGGTTGGGTTCCCTGCTTTTTTATCTAAAGGTTACCCTAATTAGCTACTGCGAGCTGGAAAATTTATACACAGGAGGGTGTAGATATAGTACCGTTAGTCTACTCATAGGAGACTGTTCTGAAGGAAACAGCGAGTACTGATTGTAGGCTTAAAATAAACCTTTAACATCTTACCTGTGCATTCAAAAGCATGCTTCTCCCAAGTGGTTGTTACTGTATTCTTGTTTTGTTTTTGCAGTGTAGACCGTGAGACTCAAGATTTGGGTCTGTGGGTCTATTATCTTAAGTAGACTATGGGCATGGATAACAGATATGGTATGCTTACTGTCCCTCAAGAGGTATGGAGACCCGGAGTTCAACTGTGTGACTGAATGACAGAAATCAGTAGAACAATATAACTCCCTGACACGGAGTCAATTCTGACTCATAGTGACCCTAATGGGTTGGGTAAAACTGCCCGTGTGGGTTTGCCAGACTAACGCTACAGGAACAGAAAACCCTGGCTTTCGTCAGTGGAGCAGCTGCTGGCCTGGTGCGACGTGCAAACACACCACCACCGGGGCACCGGGCACCGGAGAACAATATCAAGTCTATCTTAAAGGAACAACATGACTTTAGAGCCAACCTAAGAAGGCTTAATAGAAGATGTTTGTTCATACCAAGTGTGAACTGGGTCCATTAGACGAGGGCTGGTCACCATGTTCCCACCTCTGTCCTGTGCAAACATGGTGTGGTGTAGATGTCCTGGCCCAGAAGTTTGTACAGTCAAGTCATATCCCTAATTTGGCTGAGCTTTGGCATCCTTTGAGGGCCAGTCACATCCTACTTGCCCAACCAAGCAGGTGCGGGGAGAGTTCTTTGCAGGGTTAAGTGAATACACCGACATGCTGACTTGGGTATCATGCATGGGTTTGGTGTGTGCAATTCTATCCCCATGATGGGGTGTCTTCACCATGTCCACCCTGTTGGGTTCCTGAGGATGTGGGCCCAAGGCCAAACCCTGAAGAGTTTGCCTGAGTCTCCTTCCACGCGAGAAGCCCTCACGGTTTACCGTGACCTCACCTGGCGCCTTCCTTACGCAGTTGGGGTAGCCCTGCTCTTAGAACAAGCACAGAGGGTGCTTGGTTTGGTCCAAAAGATGCCAGTTTCCATCCCAAAACAGGGCCACAGAGCCATACACAGCTAAGCCTTTATTGACGGTCAGAAGGAAAGATGAGGAAAACCAAGAAGCATGTTGCAAAGATTCCATGTTTGGAAAAAAGTTCACAATATAAGTTGGTTCATTTGAATTACAATTAGCCAAACACAAAGGAAAAACAGCAGTTTCAGAGTGTGGGTTCAAAATAAGGGAAAGACAGTGTTTTGTGATAAAATAGTATAAAATGTCAAGTAACACCTTACATTGATTCACAGTCCCGCTTGTTCCCCTTTTAAATATCTACAACCGTAACACTTTAGGTCAATTATATGATGTAAAACAAGAAAAAAGTAAGCATTTTCATAGGGCAGATTTTATTAATGCTTTAAAACTGTACAAAGAGTGCATGTGCGTGAGTTAAAAAACACAAGGGAAAGAAAGATAGGGTGTGAAAAAAAGAAATATAAAATAAGGCTGAGACATAAAACAAAGATTCCATTCTGTGAATCGAAAGATAAAGGTACTTCGGTTCCTAAAAACATGTTATGTTAATATATTAAGAAATGTTTTGATTGGGAACATAGCACACGACTTTTCTGCAAGGATTCCATGAACAGATCAGACTCATTCTCACTGAACACACAAGGGATCATCAAACGATCATATGAGCCCCAGGCAGCTTACTAAACGTATGCGGATAGAGTACAATGTCTGTGAGGTATTACAATAAATAAATTCTTCAGGAGTCGTCCGACCAAGTCAGCAGGGGATGGCACCCCTTCAACTGTCCTGAGGGAGATCCCCGTCCCCAGCTCTGACGACTTTCAGGAGGGGTTTTTCACACTGGGGAAAGAAAGAAAAGAGAGAAACGTGTTTAAGGCACTGGCAAAAGGCAAACTGCCGTTTGCCTTCCATTTTTGTAACACAATTTGTGTCCTGAAGTTGGGCTGGATTATAGATACACAAACCAAAGAGCCGTATGAGCATTTGTTTTATAGCATCTTACAGTAGGGTTTAACCCGTCACGTACCTGCACGTTTGCTATCTGTCTAAACTGCTGATGTGGGAGGAAGGGGCTGCAGTGTGCTGGGTGGGCACAGGGGAGCAGGAGGGCTTCTTTGAGAACTTTCTCCTGGACTCCACGACCTTGGCTGACCAGCTGATCTCCATCCCGGTCTCCCAAGGACAGGGATCCTTCAACTACTCCTGCCTTCCGTGATTCAATGGCTGGGCAGGGCTGCTGCTGTTACAACTTACTTCTGTGTATCTGCCTTGTATTTTATAAAGAGAGACTGCTTTTCTTTGATGGTTTGAGGGATTTAACCATGTATCAAACACTCCCGTTTTTAAAATCAAACATCTTTCATCGCAAAGCCCCAAGCCTTCTAGGGACCCGACAGCACTGGGTTAGAATGGGTGCTGGTACCACACTGCGGGGCTGGCGTGCAGCTCATAGCACGGTGGTTAAGCACCGCACTGCTAGCCGCACAATGGTCTGACCTACTCCGTGGGAGAAACGGGTGCAATGGGTTTGGGATTTCTTTTGTTTTATATCAAAATACATGCAGCTTGAGACTCTGAGGTGTTTTCCACACTTCACAATGTATAGTTACAGAAGTAAATAGGACACATCGGGCTCTATATTTGGCAATCAGTCTTTGAACTGGACTCCGAGCACGCAGAGAAAGGTCTGCGTAGTTGCTGGCTGTCGTTGGGTCTCACTCACTTTAACAAAAGGTGTCTCAGAGATCGAGGAGGGGCTTCTCACTGTCCTGTTTCTCTTCAGCTTCTTCATCAGATCCTACACAGTGGGGGTGAAGGAGAAACAAACAAACAAAAAACATTTCCTTCCATCTAATTAACAAATGCTTTCTTTAAAATGACAACACATAGAAATAAAAGTTTAAATGAAAGATATATATGTTGACTCCTTAAAAGATCCGGGCTAACAAAACTGCAATTTTACACTTTAACCTTACTTCTTGGGGGGTAGGGGGGGCATAGAGGTGGGGCGTGGTGGGCTTTTGGAACATAATCAATCACTGCCACAAAGGATTGCAATTTACATACCACTAAAACTATTCCTCTGCCATGTCTTCTTTGCTTAGAAGCTTGCCTACATTTCTACGTGCAAATAACCTGGTGCACTGGGACTGACAAGCAGCTGACCGTCGTGTTTAAATTCACTTTTCCGGTGAGTGAGAGAGAGTGGGGAGAATGACTCCAGGTGGCCCCCCCTCGAGGAGCGTTCTGGGCGAGACACTAGTGGACTCCTATGACTCATCCTTCGGACCTCGTCATTGTACGGGGAAGAGTTCTTTCCCTAGGCTCCGTTCCTGGGAAACCGGTACCAACCATGATACAGCTTTTCCCCAGCAAAACTGAAACACCAAACTCGTGGCTGTGGGTTGCTTCAGACTCATAGAAACCCCGTGGGACAGTGTAGAACTGTCCCACGTGGTTTCCTGGACTGCCACACCCTCCCCCCAGGTGCGGCTGGTACAGTGACCCTATGCCACCAGGACTCCTCTTTGCCCCATCATCACAGGGGGGTGGGGTGGGGGGGATCTATGTATTAGAATAAAGCTTCAATAATCACTACATTTAAATTTTAGGCTCCCTGTCACAATTATGCTTACAGACAGTTTATAACAACATGAAAAATGTTTATGCTATAAATAAAAAGAAAATACTAGATAAATCTTAAGATTATTATTTGCTAAAGATAAAAATCCAAATACATATGTGCAATTCAGAAATGAGAGGAAAGTAACCAGGGACTTTCAAAGTATTTGCTATAGAGTCAAAAATTTCTATCAGAAATTTGAATGAACTCTATGACATTCAAATGGTAAGACTTTTAAATCCTGGGATTTTTAAGTATAAGTACCGTATATGCTTGAGTATAAGCCAACCCGAATATCAGCCGAGGCACCTAATTTTACCACAAAAGCTGAAATTAAAAAAGTGCTGGAAAAACTCAGCTTATACACGACTATATACGGTAATATAAAGTCAGCCGTTTGCAACCACCAGGTGCACTGTCTGAGAAAGAGGAGGCTTTCTACTCCCGTAAAGAGTTACAGTCTTGGAAACCCACAGGGGCAGTTCTACCTGACCTATAGAGTCACTATGAGTCATCAATGACTCAATGGCACTGAGGTTTTTTGTGGTTTTTTTTAATAAAAGGAGTATGGCTATAATCATGTGACATTATACACACATGTATGAAATTTATAGGAGAAAAGGCTTCAAAAAGTTGTGGAAAAGATCCATCATCTTTTAATCCTATTTCTCCATAAACACTTCGAAGTCCCGATGTACAACAGCCATCAGCACTCAGTGGTTGTTCGGAAACCCACCCCCTGCACTGCCACTGAATTGATTCCCACTCGTAACAAGCGTCCTGGGGCCGTGAATCTTTACAGGGGCAGACGGCCTCCCACCTTTCTCCTGTGGGCCAGCAGGGGAGTAAGGACTGCTGAACTTGCGGTCAAATTTGTAGGACAACTCACAGCGACTGTGTAGGATGGAACAGAACTGCCATTAACTGTGGGTTAATGAGACTATAAAGCTTTACGGGAGTCAAAGCGTCATTTTTCTTCCATGGAGCAGCTACTGAGTTCCAACTGCTGACCCTGCGGCTCGCAGTCCAATGCATAATCCCCCACGGGACACACTCTCGGGACACTGATACTAGGAGGCTTCAATGCACCACTTATGGCAAAAGAAGTACAGAGACACTCAGCCAAGACACAGGAGAACTGAACCCCGGCCTACATGACCTCACAGACACACAGCACACTGCACACACAGTAACAGTGCACACGTTCTTTTTCCCAGTGCACATTTCCCATCAGAGACCATGTGTGAGGCCCAAAAGCAAGCCTCAATAAACAGAGCCTTCAGTATGGATCACAGCGTAAAATTACAAAAACTCCCGACAGGACCAGAGGGCCTCATCTTTCTTCCACAGAGCAGCTGGTGGTTTCGAACTGCTCACTTTACAGTCAGCAGACCAATGAGTAACTCACTATGCCAGGTGATTTTAAAATCTGCTTCGTGCCAGTTTTTATAAGAGATATGTATTACTTTCATAAATTGAGAACAGAAATTTAAAATACTTTAATTTTAAATTCTTGTGAGGAAACCAAGATAGCAGGTTAAGCCTGTAACCTAGTCACACTCAGAGAAGTAGCAGTCTGTCTCCACTGACGCTTTAATTTTACTAATCCCCTACAAAAGTATGTTGGTTGTTTTGTTGTTGTTTCCTGTAAGAATGCTTACAGCCAAGAACAAATTTAGTGTAGGGGAAAGGCTGAGAATTTTAAGAAAAGCTTACATTCTGTGTCTCAACCTCATAAATTCAATTTAGTTCAGGTTAATTTTTTGGTAAAATACAAGAATAGTTTAAGAATATGGTGGTTGGAAGGCTTTACTCTGCAGACTATTAACCGATGGTAAGTCATGGGGACAGATGCTGGTGTGGTTTAACTGCCTTCTCACTCTGAAAGCACCTGAGGAAGACAGTCATACCAAGGCTTCCTGTCTCCCAGCTCATGCTCCACCACCAGGCATTTGAGCTTCATGAGGCGCTATGTCTTAGAATTATCTGAAGTCCCAAATAATTCTAATTCTTTAATGAGAACATAATAACGTGCTCATTACATCATTTTAAAATGAATCTTAGGGGGTTCTTGCTACAGCCAAGTGCGGGGTCAATACTCTTCCTGAAAAGCAATTACCGCATATACTCGAGTATAAGCTGACTCGAATACCAGCCAAGGTGCCTAATTTTACCGCAAAAACTGCATTAAAAATGTGCTGAAAAAACTCGGCTTATACACGAGTATATACGGTATAAAGCTGGCTAACACTGACCACAGTGAACATTAATGCTCGAAAAACTACAGACTTTGAGGAAGAACAGTGTTGTTCTGGCCTGGGCTTGCGCTCGTCCACTGGGGCACCCAGCTTGATAGGCACGGAGATTCTGCCAGCGTGAGACAGACAGAACAGGGGTGCTAAAGAGAGCTCATTTAATTTGAAGTGGGAAGAGATGACTACATCTAGTCTCACTGATGAAAACAGACACATTCTCTGCGGGTAAACACGAGGGCCAGCAGTGCCACGAGTGCCTGCGGTCGGTCCTACCCTGCAGTTCGACCAGCAGGTGCCTGGCCGAGGCTGGGTGTACATGTAGTGTGGCCCCAACAGAGTGTGCGCCAGGCAAGCTCTCCTCAGGCTGCGAGCCTGGCTCAATGATGGTGCTGGAGCACGCCTTTGTCCAAGTACTGGCTACTCCGATACAGACACTGGGAAGCCCCTAGGGCTCAGGGATGAAAAAGAAAAGAAAAAATTATAAAGAAAGAACAACACCTGACAAGGGTCATCGGCAACCATGAGTGACAACAGCAGCACCATTTTGGGGAAAAGCCGGAGTTACTGCAATCTATATCTACCATGCCCAATTTTCAACAAAAAAACCACAAGACGTGTAAATAAATCTTCAAATGTGACCTTCTCTGGGAAAAGAAAAACGAAAGAGCAATAGAAACGGTGTCTGTGTCTCTCCGGATTTAGCAGGTAACAACTTCAAAAAGAAGTTGTTAATATTGTATAAACAGAGAAAGGGGTGACAAAAAATCAGTAAGAGATATTTAAGAAGGAGCGATAAATTACCAAAAAGAAGAGAATTTTTTTAAAAAATTAGGAGTTGGGAAAAGTATGAAAAACTAAAATTCACCGAGGAGCTCGAGAAAGTACTGACTGAGAAAGGAAAGAATTCTGGAACATAAAGATAAAATTAATGGAAGCACTTATCTGAAGAGCGGAAAGAAACAGACTGGAAAACATGAACAGACTCCCGGACCTGTGCGTTACCATGAAGCCTGCCAGCACAGTACATGTAAGGAGAGTCATTCTGGGTAGAGGCAGGTCACAGCTGCTCTGACATCTGACTCGCTGCCACGGAGTTGACGCCACCTCCCAGTGGCACTCAGAGCAGAACTGCTACTTGGGGTTTGTGAGATTCTGAATCCTTAGGGAAGCAGTTTCCGCCTTCTCCCTGGGAGCAGCTGGTGGATTTGAACTGCTGGCCTTGGGGCTAGCAGATCAATGCTAACCCACTGTACTATCAGGGCTTTTACATATCTATTAGGGGCCAATCTGTACAATATCAAGAAGTGCATGACTTTAGCTACTGTTTAATTTCAGACCTGTTTTACTTTTAGCTAGGGACCTAACAACGAGAAAGCTTTGTTTTAGATAAAAGCTTTCTTTTACCAAGCATATTAATTCCCCAAAAAAGGTTTTCAGTGTTATTTCATACATTGAACATTCAGATGTTGCAAATACAATACAATAAAGTAAGCCGCTGTGTATGCTTCTTCAAGTATTAATTTGTCTTTTTTCTTAAACAGAGGCACTACCCAACAGTGTTTAGCTTCAAAACTCAGTAAGATGTAAATGCATCTCACAACCACTAGGTGGTGGTACAAATCACAGGCAAGAGGCACAGAGGAGCAATGGAAAGCTTGCAGAATGCTTGGGGTGGTATTTACCGTACTTCATTATGATCCTGCTGTTTGGAACGTCTAATTAAGAAGACGCAGTGCTTCTGAGAAATTTTAATAGTCTCAGAAAAGTAAGTGGCTATATAAAAGTGTGAACTATGTGATCTTCCATTACAAAATAAAAAGAATGAGCTCTATATCTTTCAACTGAGCTGAATAAAACAAAGCTTCTCATGAGATAATGGAAAGTTTACTATTAATTCCAGTACCTGTTGGCCTAGAAGCAGACTTTCTGCTAAGCCATATCTGTACGTTATCTGGTTCTGTGTTTTTGGGTGTTTTAAACATTCAGACCCAACATCAATAGTCCAGAATACCAAGGTATTTGGCGTTCTCCCAATATGCATTTCATACTGCCAGGCCTTTGATCAGTGACAAGGCCCTCTCAGCCTAGAATCTGTCTTATTGTATTGTGTGTTTAAAATAGTTATTATGCTAAAAAAATTACGATGTTGCTCAGTGCTGGGAAAAGAGAGTCTCTAACTCAGAGAGCAGTAGTGTGTGTGTGTGTGGGAGGGGGGGGGGGGTCACTGAAGAGGATGGCCTTCCATGGGGAACCCAAGTTCTGGTCTTAGGCACTCCATCTCATCAGTCAGTGGAGGCACGCTGCCCCGATGCTGAGCGTATCTCAGCAGAGCTTCTGGACCAAGCAGAACAGCAATCAAAGCCTGGCGATCTACTTCTGGGAATCAGCCAGTACAAATCCATGGATCACAGTGGTCTAATCTGTGATCCTCAACGGCTGTGTGCAGAGCCAGGCAGGGCTTTGTCCCATGGTGCGTGCGGTCCCCACCAGGTCTGAGCCGACTAGATGGCAGCTGACGACAACAACAGTCATGGTGGCTAACTTGAGTTTACATCGCAGTGGTACAACGCGCCCAGGCTACTGCTGAAAGTTCCCGAAGACTACTCGAGTGGAGGGGTGGGAGAGGCCGATGGAAACCTGAAGATAGGAGTGGGGACGAGGATGACAGAGTTGGGTAGTGTTAGGAGTAGAAAAGGCGAGATGTACAATGAATGGTTTCAGGGTTTTAGAGTCTAGCATTTTCAGAAAGTTAAAAACGAGGGAGTGGGTGGGCACAGGGGTACTTTCTGCCACGCTAAGAATTTCTGGCCTTAGCGAATCCTCAATCCTTTACGCCGCAGAGTTTTGAGCAGGGGAATGACAAAGTCTGCCTAGCTTGGTAGTGATAAACATGGACTTAAGTATCGGAAGCCGAGTTCAAGTCCCCACTCCACCACTTACATGTGTGTGACGTTGGGAAAATGACTCACTTTCGCTTCTCTCTAAAGTTGGATAATAACACTCCGGCACCAGAGTAGTTCTAAAGAGTTACTGTTGTCATTAGCTGTCACCCAGTCCACTCTCACTCATGGGGCTCATATGCGTGCAGAACGGAACTGCTCCACGGAGTTTTCAAAGGCAGACTGAGGTGCTTCTGGGGGGTTCCAGCCACCAACCCCTCAGATTCAGCGAGTAGTTAAGTCAACAAAGCGCCAAGGACTTTCATAAAGTGGCTGCCACAGTAAATGAGCCAATATTAGTAAAGGCCTTAGAACAGTGCTTGACATTGACTGAAAGTAAGGAGGCTGGTGCAGGGCTTGAAACAAGAAAAGGCGGAACTGATTGAAGTTGGGGATGACGGAAACGGGACAATTCAGATTACGATTAAGGAGGTGTACATGAAGCAGGGAAGAGGGACAGAGCACGGTGACTGTGGGGTGGAAGCCGCCAGGTCTGTACAGTCAGACCTTGCAGACCTGAGTAGGGCTGGGGGTGAGGTCAGTGAACGGGAAGAAAGGCACTATGGAGAGCACCGTCTGCCTGCCTGCCTTCTGAGAAGCAGCTCACACAGCACAATGCCCATGCTCTTTACCGCATGCATTTCACATCACATCCAGGGCACACTCTACTGACTTACTCCCATCTCTGTTAAAGTCGGCTACGTGTACTGAAAGAGAGTCAGAGACCTAGACCGAGAGCCAGAGAGACCATGCAGGCCAAGTTCTTGAATAATCAACACAAACACAAATGATAAATATTTTACCTGCTTCCGACTCGGGAGGGGAATAAAACTGACCGTCAGAAAGACCACCAGGTATAAGTGCTGCCCTCTCTGAGGCATCTTGAACTATCAGGAGTCCTAGAAGGAAAGGAATTCAGATGCCGGGAATGACGTTATGATTCGAGTAACTTCTCACAAGACTGAGCATGGTACAATGGTGTCACCAGTACATCAAAGTACTCTGGAAACCTTTCAGTCATTCTACCAATGGCACTGGCTTTTGTTTTGTTTTTTCATTTACAAACGATGGACCAGTACTGTAAAGACATCTACGAACTAGTCAACTGCCTTATGTCACGGAGGGGACTCTCGGACATAGGATTTATAGCAGCTTTCCCTTGGAACACACTTACCTCTTAACAGTCATCAGCAATCAGGAAACCAAACCAAAAAGAAGCCAACGAAGAACCGGGCGGCGGGCACGGTCTACTGTCTATGTGTGCCTAGAGAAATGTTGACTATAAAGTGCATCCAAGGGATGGCATTTTCTAAATATGAGTGCACTTCAAAATATTCAGGGAAAATGGAATTAAACATGGGGGAAGTTTTCCACGTATTTTTTGGAAGCCCCTTTGTATATAGAGAGTATTTAAAATGATGAAGGAACTTTTATGAAGTTAAAGTTCTCCACAGAGCACAAGCTAGAAGACATTAGCTGATGAATGTTTTCTAAAAAATGAATCTGCTTTTGAATTTTAACTTTCTCCTTAACAGATTTCTTCTCTCTGAGATTTACCTAACTGAAATGACTTGCAAGGATGTGTTCCCTCCAGTCTCTAGTGCTATCACCATCAAGCTTACCTTTCTGTAGGACAGAAGTGTTTGGCTTTTGGTTTTCCTATTAGGCAGGGAAAAGTGAGCAATGACTGATCGGAGCATAAACGTGGCACATCTTGAAACTATAGGGTCTCTGGTTTGATCTCTTGACTAGGCAGCCTCCAGTGGGTGGGTGGGCCCGGGTGGCTTCCACAATGATCTCATATGGAGAAGAAAACAGCCCAATTCAATTAAGCAGCTAGTTCAAGGCATCCCTCTGACTTCCTAGGATACCGAGAGCCATGAGCTCAGCAGGGCTTTGCCAGGGCTCACCAGGAAACCCTGCGAGCTCTCGCACCAGCGCACAGTGAGCTCAGCGGGAGCCTGAGCTGGTTAAGCATGTCTCTGCCTGGCTGCCGTGCTCCTCGGCACTCCAGTCATCCTGGGTTTGGAAACGTCCCAGCGGGAGGGTAGGCGCTCCACCTGGATCTAATCGTGGCCATTCAAAGCATCTCTCTGACCTTCTCCTGCTCTCTTGCAGCAATGAGACTTGGAGCAGCTGCTGGCTTTCGTTGAGAATTTCTGCCTCAGCTCATCCAAAACTGGTTTCAATTTCTCTGCCCCTGAACAATGTAGTCTGATCCTGCGCAGGGAACAGTTGACATCCTATCTTTACTCTTCATAGGGACAAAAGGCCAGCTGGTCTCAGGAGGAAGAGGTGCTCTTTGTATTGCTGCTCCTAGATGGGTGCTCCTACTGCACCCATCTTCACACTACTCCTGGTCCAATCCTTGGAGAGAGGTGCCACATTCTCTTACTGTCCTTTTATCCAACCCTTCTTCTGATTCCTGCTGTAGCCACTCAAGAATAGAGATGGGGATGGGGGTGGGGGCAGGGGGTGGGGTGGCCAAGTCCCACCCACCCGCAGCTCCACGCAGACCAAGGCATCCTCACAGCCAAGTCCCCAGTCAGTAGCAGGAAGCTGATTCTGCGAGAAACTTACTGTTTTCTTCTTCCGCTTCTTGAGGTAACACTTTGAAATCCAGGAACCAGGTCTCGATCCAGGCGAGGATGAATGAAATGATGGGCAGCACATAGCCAAACGCCCCCTGTGAGAAAAGCTGGCCAGACAGGTCCCGGCAGGAGAGGGAAAGGCGGTTACTATGAGCTCACACGGGGCGGCAAGGCTTGGTCATTGCAGAGAGAGAAACGCTAGGCCATACCTTGGAGAGGATGACTTTTGCTAATAAAAAGGCACTGGTCACTGCCGTCGTCAACTGAAAGACAGAAAACAGCACCCTCTGCTTAGCCCTCGCCTAACTGTGAAGTCCCCCTCCCATGGGAACTGTCACCCACCTGTGCCACAAGAGGGAGAGTAACCGAAAAAGCCTGGCTTGGTCCCAGAGCCTGGCACCTCTGCACACCCCTCCAACTCTACCCACTAAAGCCCAGACCGGGGCAAAGCGGGCTTCTCTGTGGCACTCAGTTTCTCACTGGCAGCTTCCAGGTTTCCCTTCTCCCACTTTTTAGGAGGCTGATGAGTTGGGGGACTTGGTGGCATGTGGGTTGCGTGTTGGCTGCTAACTACAAGGACAGTATTTTGAGAGCAGCTCCGTGAGGAAAAGCAGTGGCTTTCTACTCCTCTGAAGATGTACAGGCTCAGAAATCCACGAGGGCAGTTCTGCCCTGTCCGTAGGCTCGCGCTGACTCGGGATGGACGTGAAGGCCGTGAGTTTGGATGTGTTGGGAAAATAAGCTTTGCCCATCAGAAGTTACAAATCCAAATCCACCTCCACCACTTAAAAGGACCGGTGAAATCCACCGGCGGGGCTCTCCCTTGGGGCCGTGATGCCCAGAGAGAATCCCAGAATACCGGGGCTTGACACACCTTGTGAAGCTAAGAGTTTGAGCAGGGTGAAGCCTGAACCAAATGAATGCCAACAGCAGCAGGTTAGGAGGCTGTTGGCACTGACTGATAGAATGGAGGTGTGGGAGCTTTAGGTATCATGTGCAGTATTTGTTAACACAGTTTCACAAGTAGTACAGATTAAGCGAACACAGCAAACATTGAGGTGCTTGGTACAGATGGGTTTTTACATGAGGATAAAACTAATTTACAGGTAGACACTAATTGCTCTTTCGGGGCCAGCTGACTTCTCCTTCTGCTGCCTGGCCTCTCTCTGCCAGCGTTTTTAAAAACAAGTCTGAAAAACAACAGAGAGGATTTGTTAAATCTGATCTGTCCCTTCTAATAATTTGAAAAGAGATGGTCAAAAGAATATCTTAAAACTCTCATAGAGTAGGTCTAGGTGAGCCACTTCTCTGAGATACATGAGACAGACGGTCGGACAAACACTAATTAATACATATTATGGAGACTCTGGAACAAATGGGGAACACGGTTAAAAAAAATTCAGAAGGTACAGTCACTATAATTATTGTGACATGGACAACAGTCTTCAGAAAAGGAAGTCAAATCTGGCCACGGCTGATCCACCTGCACCTGTGAGTGTGAGCTGCCTCCCAGGCCTGCCAGTCTGTGGGTGATGAAAGGAGCTGGTCCAGGCAGACAGCACCCAGATGAAATCCGCCCCATGATGGAGGCATAGACTCCCCTGTCAAGATGGTCAAGCCCTGAATGGGCCCCTACACATTCTGGGGGGCATACACCCTCATCACTGGGCAGCGGGTCACTCTAGAGCAGAGATTCTCACCCTGTGGGTCGTGACTCCTTTTGCGGGGGTCGAAAGACCCTTTCACAGGGGTCGCCCGATTCATCACTGTAGCAAAATGACAGTGATGAAGTAGCAACGAAAATCATTTTATGGCTGGGGGTCACCACCACATGAGGAACTGTATGAAAGGGTCGCGGCATTTGGCAGGTTGAGAACCACTGCTCAAGAGCAATTCTCCCTGGACTGATGAGCTCGGCATGGCTCCCCGTAGCCCTGCCTCATGTGAGCTCGCAAAAAGTGAGTGTGCAGATATCTGTGGAAACAGCAAGAAAAATAACAGGGAGAAGAGCTGCCAATTCTTCTTTCAACCAGTGTTTATTAAGCTTACCCTTTAAGACTGAAAGAAGGCAAACTGCTGGTGTGGGTTGGGAGTGGATCAAATGTTATCAAAATGAGTCCAAGTCAGGAAAAAACAAAACAAAAAACATGAGGCGGTGTGACGCGAACCAGAAAACTGCCAAATATTGCTGAAGCCGTGGTACTGAGCTCATCTCGTATGCCCAAAGTGGAGTCAGAGTTCTTGATCAATGACTACTACTCTGGGGCCTCTGGGATTTCTCGTTTGCTTCAGTGTCCACAGAGATGAATCTAGTTACATCGGAAAGAGGCCCTGCAGCTTTCAACGGACTGAAAACGGGGAGGAGTAAAATCAGAGGAAGATGGCAGAATTAAACCCCACTTTCAACAGCCTCTTAGCCCGGCTCGGTGCTGTGTGAGCAGGTGCTGCCCCCCACCCCCACCCCGCGAAGATCAACCACTCAACCCCGCAGTACTCACCGCGATTGCCCACCAATGGCGCAGTCTACACACAGCATAGGCAAGAATTAACACTTTAAATCGAAAAACTGCCAAAAGCTAGTTTGAAAGAGACAAATATTTAAAATAATATATTAAAAATATTATTAAAGAAAGAAAACAACAGGTCAATATTAGAGGAAGGGAAGCCTGCCTCTCAAACTTCACCGTACCACGACCTAAGTAAAGCATTTGAATTAATTTCCCATTATCAAAGAACCTGCCCTTAAATGACCCCTTTTTTCTTCCTATTTGAGCCCACCTGTGTATCTGATGGGGTTATAAGACGGGGGAATCTGCTGACAGCTGAAATTCTCAGTCCAGGTAGAAACACTCCCTCGAAGGAGGTACCAGCTCCCAACACTCGGGGTTAATGGTATCTTGGTGAAAGGCCAGCCTCTCTCAGTAGCTAGCATCACACTGAAGCTCCTTAAGTGTACTTCATCCTACATGACCCCTCATCCCAACAATCCCGAGAGTCCACTGTTACCACTAATCCCAAAATACAGGAGGGAAGCCAAGGGAGAGGGAAGGGAAATCCTTAGTCACGTTGCCAGGAGATGAACCCGGCCGCTTGGCTCCAAAGGGCAGCGATAGCAAAGCTGTCTTCGCAACTCTCATTCATGAAAGGAATGGACACAAAGTGTGACCCATTTTAGTGGGCAATCCACTACTTGGTAGGGAGATGTCAGGGGACACTTGAGCAGTGAGGCAGGACAGGGATGTGTCCTTACTAATCAAAACTACCGAAAGGCTAAGGATGCTGACAAACCCACCAGACCTTGGAGATCTGGTTGGTGGCTTAACCAGGCTTCCTAAGAGTCCTTGACTCAAGCCATTCCCAGATAAAATTAACAAGGGCGAAAACCAAACCAAACCAATAGAAAACCCAATTTCATCATTACATGTTAATAGTTTTAGAGGAAAGTATCAGAAATTTTGGACCCCAGCACGCTCTGCTGCCCATGTACATGACTGAGAGTTGGGCAAGAAACTCATTTTGGGAAAAGTGAGGGGATTGCACTCTATCAGTCATTTTCTAAATATTCTGCTGTAGCCATGGTTTCAACAAAATCCCAAGGGGAAGCCTAATATACTAAACTGATGAAAAGGTGACTAATAACTCAGACTAAAGGCGGCCCTAGCCTGACCTGTGTACATGTCTCCAGGCATCTACTAGAGACAGGAAATAAAGTAGGGAAAATAGACCTGGGGGGGGGGGGGCATCACTGTGAATTCTGACCATCTGTGCTGTGTCTACTACAATGTTAAAGTCACACTGACATATACTATCAACTATAAAGCTCTATCTATCAAACCACTCAATGTTACAGTGCGTCCTAGGAAAAGAATGCAAGCACGTGTTTAGATAAAAGTAATACCTCGTCTTGAGAGAAATATAAACTCTATATATTGTCCAAGATTACTAATAAACAACTTCGTTCAAAAACTCCTATTGCAGCAGAATAAAACCTAGTTATTATGAAAAGCACACCGAGATATAAATCTACTTAAAACTGAAAAGGAACATCATTTTCAGCATGAAATTAAATGAAGAGGTGAAACTTTCCTTTGGTCAATAGGTTATGTCAGTGGGTGTACTACTTCAACAATGTGAACTGGCAAAGGAAATGGGTGTGGCTTTTTCTGTCACCCTCTGTCACCCTCTATTCATCGGCCCTCTTCCTTGAGACAGGCAGACCATTCCTCACAGTGGGAAGGTGCGCTGAACGGGCCCCTCCCTGCCTCAAGGAGAAGGAAACGTTCAAGGGAGCAAAAAGGAATGGCTCTGCAGCTGAGGCCTATTTAGAGGGAATCCGCCTTTTTCTTTTTCCCATGTCTGAAAGAAACGATAAACCAGAAAACACTTACAAATATATCAAAATAGGAAGAGTGGTAGTCATAGTGCACGACTTCCTTCTCTAGTGTGTTTTCAATGCCTCCGTTCACCTAGGAGGAGAGTGGAAGGTGACAATCAGGAGAGATGATTCACGATGACAATACTCAAGAACATGCAAGTGCGGTTGGCCCTGTACTTGTTGGCCTGTCGTTTTAGAACCCACACATGCTAAACCATGCAAGAGCATATGTTGAACAGCATGCCTACTTCTTAATTTTGAATTCATTCACTCAACAAATATGTAATTTAAAACAACGTGCTGATATTTTGGGAAACTTAAGTGTTAAAAAAAAAGCCTTTTTCTTTTTCTTTTCCATCTTCCCAAAACTCCAAACTCAGTGTCTTTGAGTCGACTCTGACTCATGGTGAGCCTATAGGACAGAGTAGAACTCCCCCTGTGGGGCTCTGAAACCGTAAGTCTTGATGGGAGTAAAAAGCCTCATCTTTCTCTTTTGGGGAAGATGGTGGTTTCAAACTACTGACTTTGAAGTCAGCAACTCCTCACCACTACATCACCAGGGCTCCTTTATCCCATCAGGAAGAAGACCATTTATACTTTTATCCAGAGCCTCCCTAACTTTGTTATCACACGTTTGGAAGGCCAACGGGCCCCTGTTCTCTTAGCAAACATCAATGACAGCAGTTACTGTGGTGTAGGAGGGGTAAACAATGTTTCTCTGTTGTACGATACGTTTTAATATACACCACTGTAATTCAATTTAACTGTTTAAAAGTTCGTTTAAAACTTAAGTTCATTTTATTCACTTATGGCATTTTTAAACTTTGCACTCTTTTTAACTTACTTTTTGTCAATTAAAGTCACAGTCAATGATGAAAATAAAAGATAACATAAACATTCTTTCATCTCCCAATTGATCCATCAAAATGAGTTCTGAACAATAAAGTTTTAAGACCTACATATTATAGAAAACTTTTAAAAATTGAGAGAGGGTGGGGGAAAGAGGAACTGATACCAAGGGCTCAAGTTGAAAGAGAATGTTTTGGAAATGTTGCTGGCAACATATATACAAGTGTGCTTAATACAACTGAATGATGGATTGCTATAAGAGCCCCCCCCCCCAATAAAATGATTAATAAGGAAAATTTTTAAAATTGAGTGAAGGATCCAAACTGGACCCAAGCATATATACATCCAAACTCACGGCCATTGATTCAACTTTGACTCACTGCATCCCTATAGGACAGAGTAGAACTGGGTTTCAGAGACTGTAACTCTATAGGAGTAGAAAGCCTGATCTTTCTCCTGTAGTGCAACTGGTGGTTTTGATTTGATGAACTTGCAGTTTGCAGCCCAATGTATAACCACTACAACTTATTTATTTATGTACATATACATATATATATGTCATATCGATGAGGCTAAGTTAACAGAAGAAAAATTTGTAAACAGAAAGTTAACAGTAAATTCATATTGTATATTATTGTAATTCTGGAACAAATCTTGTTTTCTAAAACCCAGACCCAAACCCACTGTTCTTGGGTACTTGCTCGTTAGGTATTTCCTCTTATTTGTGGAAGCATTCACTTTCATTACATGCTTGCTGCAGTGACTATTGCTATGCAGGTGCTTTGAGCCTCGGCCAAAAAACCTTTTTATCAAATAAAACTTGGCGGTACAAGATCTGGGTTGAAATCTCAGTTCAGCCACTAATGATGGGAATTTAAACAGGTCATGAATCCTCTGTGAACCATAATTCCTTAGCTGTAAAACAAAGCAACTGGCTGCTTAATCATTTCACGGGCTCTCCAGAATTAAAATTCTATTGTTCTATGATCACTAGGTTCTATTATGTTCTTCCTATATTCTTCAACGCATTCTGGGGGTGGTCAGAGGGAATCCATGTTTTGTAATGGATTGGTTTTATGGGCTGGGAATTCAAGTCAAATAAAACAGCCTTTTTAAATATAATAGAGCCTTCCATTTCCTTTTGTCTTTATGGAAAATAATGAGATGAATATTATCCAATTTTATAAGCCCTCTGTACTATCATCTATTAATTCTTCATTGTAAGGGAGAACTTATCTAAATTAAATGTTAAAGAGGAGAAAGTTTATTTTTATGATATTTGCATGACTAGATCTAAATATAGAAACTCAGTGGCTGCTTTCAAAATGAATTTTGTTCCTCCGTTAGGA